ATTTTAAAACAGGTGACAACTACTCAAACAGCAGCTTGTATTATATATTAGCCTATTATATATCAACAAATCAAATTTTACCATTCTTCCAAATAAATTATTCGAACCAGCGTTTTTATAATCGCTCGCCAAGTTCTTCCACAACCTTACTCCTTGAACTGAGGTACATCTCTCTTTGGTTCTAATTTTAGGTTTTACAAATATTTCAAATCCTTTAAGATTATAAATACTTACCCTCTTAATGATATTAGATTGAATGTTCAAAGGTAATGCRTTTTTATGAGCCTTATATATAATCGACAAAATCTTATAATCAACCAACTCATAAAATTTTAATAATTTCAACTGATGAAATAATATTTCATTCTTAGCTACTGCACAACAAATGCCATCTAATTAGTCTTAAAATGGCCGAATTATAGCCTTTTAAAGTTAGCTGTGGTGGCCACCTTGAACTTTTAATTAGCATTTAAATTTTGGTAAATATATTTTTTAAATCACTTTATTCAAGCAGTTTAAACGACTCCTTTTTCTTTCTGTTCATCTAAAACTAGTCTAACAATAAAGACAATTAAATTAAAGTTATTAAATGAATCAAATGAAAGCATTGTTTTTAATTATTTAATTTTCTCAGGCCTACCACCACCACCACCACCACCACCACCACGGTACAGATTGGAGGCCAGCGGAGACGCCTCTACAGCGCCGTCCCGGGACGAGTCTTTGTAGCCACTCGGTCCCACTCTGCTCAGGGAGAGCGGGAAATCAGCTTCAGTAAAGGAGACCGGGTCAAAGGTGAGGACAGAAGTATTTCCACACGTGTGTCTGATGATTCACTGTTGGATGTTAGGGTCTGACGAAACGGCTGGTATTATTCCTGCGACCGTCGTGAGTCCAGCAGCTGGTCACTGGTTGTGTTTGTAGAAGTAGACTATCATGAATTCCACCGTGACGACTCCTCCTGTCGACCCGCGAGGAAGAGCTCTGCAGCTTCGTTTTGTGTGGCTGTCATAAAAAACTGTGTACGAGGCGCCAAATGTAAAACTAGACATGGGTTTTTATGATGTAAAAACAAGTGTGCATTGCCATGTAGCATGCTAATGATGGCTTTTAAGATTTAAATTCAAAATGTGTTCATTGAACACAACATAAACGGTACCTTTGGTCTAGTAGTTTGACGTCTAGCTCCGACATCACCCGCAACTGCAAGTTGAGATGTCTTTTCAGAAAGTGTTAGCTACGCTAAAATACCTAGCAGAAATACTCGTGTTAGCAGAATTAGTCATTTTAGCAGACCGAGACATTTTAGCAGAGTTAGCCATTTTAGCAGAGTTAGCTGTGTTAGCAGAGTTAACCGTGTTTTCAGAGTTAGCCGTTTTAGCAGAGTTAACCGTGTTAGCAGAGTTAACCATGTTAGCAGAGTTAGCTGTGTTAGCAGAGTTAGCCATTTTCGCAGTTAGTTGTGTTAGTAGAGTTAACCATGCTAGCAGAGTTTGCTGTGTTAGTAGAGTTAACCGTGTTAGCAGTTAGTTGTGTTAGTAGAGTTAACCGTGTTAGCAGTTAGTTGTGTTAGCAGAGTTAACCATGTTAGCAGAGTTAGCCATTTTAGCAGAGTTTGCTGTGTTAGCAGAATTAGCCATTTTAGCAGAGTTTACCGTGTTATCAGAGTTAACCATGTTATCAGAGTTAGCCATGTTAGCAGAGTTAACCATGTTAGCAGAGTTAGCCGTGTTTCCTGAGTTAGCCGTTTTAACAGAGTTAACCATGTTATCAGACTTAGCTGTGTTATCAGAGTTAGCTGTGTTATCAGAGTTAGCCGTGTTATCAGAGTTAGCTGTGTTATCAGAGTTAGCCGTGTTAGCAGAGTTAGCTGTGTTAGCAGAGTTAGCTGTGTTAGCAGAGTTAGCTGTGTTATCAGAGTTAGCCGTATTAGCAGAGTTAGCTGTGTTATCAGAGTTAACCGTGTTATCAGAGTTAGCTGTGTTAGCAGAGTTAGCTGTGTTAGCAGAGTTAGCTGTGTTATCAGAGTTAACCGTGTTATCAGAGTTAGCTGTGTTATCAGAGTTAACCGTGTTAGAGTTAACCGTGTTAGCAGAGTTAGCTGTGTTAGCAGAGTTAGCTGTGTTGTCAGAGTTAGCTGAGTTATCAGATTTAGCCGTATTAGCAGAGTTAGCCGTGTTAAAGGCTGATTTTTTTCAGGATGATGATGTCATAACAGGAGCGGCAAAGGCTGCGTTCCATTCCAAAATACGTAAATGTAAACTTTATCATTTAGCTGCAACATTTCAGGTTTAATTTTTAAATTTAGGTTTAGGATTTAATATTTAAACATTTTATTTTACATTTAATAAAAATTGGCCAAATGTTAGTGGACAGTTTTTTAACACTCAGAAAGCGAGCTAAATAAGTGTTAGTGACATTTTTTTAATTGTGGGCTGTTATATCAGTTGTCTCATAAATTAGGTTCTCAAAACAAGACAGAACCAGATCCTGAACCACCTCAGCTGGCTCCTCTGGACGTGGAGGAGCTCTGTCTCCTGCAGAACTGAACCAAGCAGGAAAGGACCCATTTGGACCGCCTGTATCCATGACCTCATTCTTTCAGTTTCTGCCCAGWGTTTGTGACCGTAGGTGAGGGCAGGACCAAGAGCTTCAGCTTGTTGCAGCTCAGCTCCCTCTGAACCACAACAGACCAACGGTGCAGTCGCCTGCTGCTGTAGGAAGTTTGTATTTTTGTCAGAAACTAACCTAGGAGCAACGTTTCATCYTTTTATAAACTCTGGAACAAGTTTCCTCGTGTTTGTTCAAACTTCGACGTTTTTCAATGAGCCGGGCCCAAAAACCGTTAAAAAAAAAAAAGGCACAATTGAGCGGGAAGTGGTTAAAAATCTGTTTTAATGCAGCTCTTCGATGCTCATTGAAGTTGTTGAACGTTTCAAAGGAAACCGCAGATGATTGGAGTGATGGAGGCTGAAACTTGAGCTCAACCTGTGAGGAAACAGTGAGATTTACCAGCAGGTGCAGGTCTATTTGAAGCGCTGGTCCTTTTATTGTGAACATCAGTGTAAGGCTTCCATATATGTTTGTATTTAATGTCTGCAGGTATGAATATTTGTGTGTTTGTGAGTGAGTCTAAAGTGTCACCAGGTATGTATGTCTTGGTGAGTATGTAGGCGGTTTGCATGTTCGWGTGTCTATATTAGTTTACTTCCTGTCTGCATATTGTTCTTATCTTCTTTTTGTGTGCGTTTGGTTTTTGTTCTCTGTGTCTGAGTGTGTTTGTGTTCATTCTGTTGACTTTTGTTTGTGTGTGACGCTTTGCTGCTCTCCTCTTCCAGTGCTGAGCGTTGGCGAGGGCGGGTACTGGGAGGGGACGGTTCGAGGTCGCACGGGTTGGTTCCCCTCCGAGTGCGTGGAGGAAGTGGTGCTACGAAGCCAAGACAGCCGATCAGGTGATCATCACGAACCGTCCTACAGAAACCATTAACACCTGGAAATATTTGTTTTTATAGAGTTTTAGATTAAAAATATAAAAGAAAAACTCAAAAACAGCATTTTCTGCTAAAGCGTAACTGTGAATCCYGAGTGCTGTTGAGTAAAGCTAAAGCTAATTAGTTAAAAGCTAAAAGTAACAGAGTGCTAGTTGAACGATTTTACAGCAAGAAGCTAGTTAGAAGATTAAAGTTACAAAAGGATAGTTTAAAGCTAAAAGTAGGTAAATGTTATCCAAAAACAGAACAAGTTAGCTAAAATTCAGAAGAAGCGAAAGCTTAATAAAAATAGCAAGTGGCTAGCTAAAAGTGTAAATTAGCAAAATGCTAGTTAAATGGTAAAACTGTGAAATGTCAGCTACAAACAGCAATGGGTTAGCTATAACCTAAACGTAGCACAATTTTAGACAAAAGTACCTTAAGGTTAGCAGATAGCTAAAAGTAGCAAAAGGCTAGTTGAAAGCTAAAAGTAGCAAAATCTTATCTAAAAACAGRAAATTTTAGCAAAAAGTTTGAAGTGGAAAAACCTAGCAAGAAGCTCAAAGTAGCAAAAAGCTAAATGAATGCTAAAATTAGCAAATTTATCCAAAACCAGAAAAGAGTTGTCTGAAATCCAGAAGTAGCAAAAGCTTGCTAAAAATAGCAAAAGGCTAGTAAAATGCTAAATATTGCAAAATGCCAGCTAAAAACAGCAACGGGTTAGCTAAAACTTAAAAGTAGCACAATTTTAGATAAAAGTAGCTTGAGGTTATTGAATAGCTAAAAGTAGCAAAAGGCTAGTTGAAAGCTAAATATAGCAAAATGTAAGGTACATCCATTAGCCTAAAATGTTAGGTAAAAGCCAAAAGTAGCAAAAATCTTGCTAAAAGTAGCAAACGTTAGCTGAAACCTAAATGTTGCTAACTACTGCAAAGAAGCTAAAATTGGCAAAAGCCTGGCTAAAAGCTAACATTTTCGAAAGGTTAGCTAAAAGAATGAAAAGGCTAGCTCAAAGTTAAAAGTAGCAAATGGTTGACTAGAAGCTAAAAGTTGCAAAAACCTAGCTAAACATTAACAGGCTAGCCCATGTTAAAAGTAGCAAAAAGCTTGCTAAAAGTAGCAAACGTTAGCTGAAACCTAAATGTTGCTAACTACTGCATAGAAGCTAAAATTGTCAAAAGCCTGGCTAAAAGCTAACTTTTCAAAAGGCTAGTTAAAAGAATGAAAAGGCTAGCTAAAAAGGTAAAAGTAGCAAACGGCTGACTAGAGGCTAAAAGTTGCAAAAACCTGGCTAAAAGTTAACATTTTCAAAAGGCTAGCTAAAAGTATTAAAAGGTTAGTTCAAAGCTAAAAGTAACAGACTAGTAGAAAAAGTAAAAGCAGCGCAGGAAGACAAAAAGAGTTTTAAAATAAAATGATTGTGGGTCAACTAAACCGTCTGGTATTTTATCATTTCAGAGAGTCGTGGAGAACGAGCCAAACGGTTGTTCCGTCATTACACYGTGGGATCGTACGACAGCTTCGACGCTCCGAGGTGAGAATTGAATTTATTTGTATTTTTTATCTGTGAGCCGGTTTGAGACTCTGACATGAAAGCTGGCGGGCGATACGCGTTCCTTCAAGCGACGCTGCAGCTTTAGTTAATGAAGCCCGTCGCTTCAGTTCGGTCTGACTCCTCACAGGATGAGGTCGCCACAGAGAGGGCGCTCCACAGAGCAGAAGTGGTTTGAATCTGAACGTTAAGGCACTTTGTGGCACTCGGACCGACTGATTCAGGCACTCGAGCCGCGCTGCTTGGTGTCATATCTGGATTTGGGAATGAGGGTTTTACTACAGTTTTAGTAGCTGATGTGTGAGCAGGGAGTAGCTGATGTGTGAGCAGGGGTCTGTATTTTGTTAAAGAGCCCGATGAGACTCGTCCGTCCTCTCGGGGGGGTTTAACTCACGCTGACAGCCTGTTTCATCGTGACCCCCCCTGCTTTGCTGTGAGTCTCCTGCACACGTCAGGAAGCGTGTTTGTATGTTAACATATTAGATGTATTTATTTCAAGATGATCTGTGTGAAGCGACGTCCTGGACTGATTCATGCAGCGGTTTAAACTGCAGACAGATAAATGTTTATCATTTTAGTTTTTAGGCGCTGTTTCCTCTGCTTTATGTCTGTTTTATTGTCTCTGAGATCTGCAGCTTCTTGTTTTTATTTTTAAAGAGTCTGATTAGGTCAAAGCTCTGTTTATGAAACTGTTTTAAATCCACCTGATGATTGCTGCCTTTAGTTCAATCTGTAGTAATACATATGTATTACTGAGGCTGGAACACACGATAAACAAATCACACAGTWCCTGTCAGCCACGAGACCAACAATAATCCCTGAAGAGCAGCTGAGATCAATGAGTCTTTTTAATTATTTTTCTGTGCAGTAATGCCTCCTGTTATTCACCTGCTGTGACTCGAACAACATCCGGTGTTACGCAGCATTTATTCCTGAAGGGAGAATATTTTTAACAAGTTTTCTACTAGTAGAAAAGGAAGTACTTGAAAGGTATTAGACTTCCTTTTCATTATTGTTGTAATGATTATCTGAAAATGAATAAGTGACAAAAAAGAACCTCATTAAAGTCTTGAATTTTCTGTAATTCAGTCAGTTTAACAGACGTTGAGAGTGAAAACTATGTGTTTCAGCACATAGACAGAGCCCGAACTGTTTAAACTGGACTGGTTGACTCACACAACTTTTATCACTTCTTTCACCTCTTTATTTTTGGCCACGTCTCCCACTCATCCTGCATCCCTCCGTCGCTCTGTTCATGAT